GGAAGCTATTGTCAGGTACCTCATCGAGCAAGCGAACGTGGACAAGGAGGCCAAGGACAACAATGGCGCGACACCACTGCACTGGGCTGCTACCGACGGGCATGAAGCTATTGTCAAGTACCTCATCGAGCAGGCGAACGCGGACAAGGAGGCCAAGGACAACAATGGCGTGACACCGCTGCACTAGGCTACTAGAATCGGGCATGAAGACATCGTCAAGTGCGGGAAACATTGCGACGTGACATCTACAGTCTTGGCATTCCTGGATTCCCCATCGACAGAGTCAGAATACCCGACCCAGATCCGCTAGCCGCAGTACGGTACTCGTGTGTTTACTGGATCGACCATCTGCGTAAATGTAACCCCAAGAATGTGAACAGGGATCTCCAGGATGGTGGATCAATCGATACCTTTCTATGCGAGAAGTATCTTCACTGGCTCGAGGCAATGTCTACTAGTCCTAGATAGGTTCCTGAAAACGTACTGAGGTACTATTAGACTTTTTTTATCTTAGTTTAATAGATATAAACCTACCTTATAGAAACAAGTCTGAGGGTTCTAGGAGAGGAGCATCCCAACACGCTAACCAGCATAGGCAACCTGGCGTCGACGTACCGGAACCAAGGCCGGTAGGAAGGAGGCCGAGTTGCTGTTTCTGCCAGTGATGGAGACGAGTTCGAGGTTGCTAGGAGAGGAGCATCCCGACACGCTAATCAGCATAGGCAATCTTGCCTTCATTTGGAAAGATATAGGCCGCATGGAGATGCTCTTTGCCTCTCACAGACTTGCTTGATTTCCAGCAAGAGGTATTAGGCGCAGGTCATCCATACACCATGTCCACACTATCAACTCTGGAGGCAAGGCGAAAGGAGAACGGACCATCAGGAGTATAGTAGTATTGATTTGTAATAAATAACATATCAATTTATTCTATCTTTTCTACTACCTACTGTCCCAAAGTTATAGTTAAGCCAGTATAATAGCCTTTAATAAAAAGGTTCTTCTTCTGCATTGCCACTGCCTGCCCACAGGGCCGGCAAAACCTTCGAAAATACCATCATTCAATTGCTCTCGAAAAGACCTATCTACTCGTACCAGTTGCAGGCCCGCGCAGGACCTTGCGCAGCCGCATTCGAGCCGCGAATTCGCTGTATTCGAGCTGCGTTCCAACCGTCAAGATTTTCGTGGGGTGCGCACAGGCCGCCCACAGGCCGCCCCGCGCCCACGGGACCCAGATAAGATAAGGCCTATGCACTGGCCAGTCTTTCTGGGCCCCTCTTTCTCTGGATTCGCGGAAGGCCCCACCCCCGCACAGCCGCACCGTCGCTAAGCCGCACCTGCAAGCCGCACCTAACCCAGCCGCGCGGGGCATGGAGGCCCGGCCGGATATTGAAATGAGGGATTCCCCTCCCTCTTCCTCTCCTTCCCCAATACAACCAATTCGCCGGGAAGAGTCTCCGAATCAGCTAATTCAGCCGAATAAGCCAAATAAGCCAAGCCAGCCGAATAAGCCCACCTCACCAAACCTTCAGTCAAGCCGCCATTCCAGCCACCAGTCAAGCCGCTTACCTAGCCACCTGACGGCCAGGAAGCTCCCAGACCCACCCAAGCAGTCGAAATCGACTGATCAGTTCCTCGAAGTAACGGCCTTGAATAGACTTGTGGCTGGCCTTGAGGCCCTAGCTTCCGAAAATCAGGCCTAAGCTAAATTCCTAGCCCAGGAGATCCAACAGGCTTATCGACTGGCCTGTTTGCGGGCTGCACAGAGAGTGGCGCATCAGTTGTACGCGGTTCAGACCCCTACCGAACCGCTTGACTCCGGAACGAGCATCCCAGCAAGCTGCGGTCTGCCTTGTTCCTGGTCTATAGCCGTGCTAATGCAGGACTGCGCCGGTTCTAGGTTGGCTCCCACGCTTATCGGCAGGATACGACCCGGACCGGCGATCCGCCTTCGGGTGATCTCGGCGCCGCAAGTGATCGTGAATACCTGAGAGCAGTGCGTGTACTCATTGCCAAGTCTGCTCCTGGCTCGCGTGACTCTGTTGTATGGTTGAGGCTTTCCTTCCACCACAAGCATCGGGGTCGGCTGGGTCAGGCCGTATAGGCCACGGTCGCGTCCAGTTCGATGTTGGCCAGCTCGCTCAAGTTGACGAGCGCCGGGCTGGGGCCGGTACTCCGCAGCACGAGCACGGCAGGTCGTTGAGTCCACATCGCTACATTCTCGCTGAAGACTCCTCTTGGGCCGAAGAGACCGGCCCACGGTGCAGCCGTCGAATTTGGCCTGGTCGAGGACGGTGGCCCGTGGGGTCGGCATCCTTTGACACACCTGAACACGAAAGCGGCCATTAGCCTAGACGTGTAGAGAAGGTCACAAACACATTTGGTTGGCTAAGAGCGGGTTCGCAACGCGTTAGTGAAAGCGTGGTTACAACAAAGCGACATCAGATTCACACCACAGCAAAAGTCGGAAAACGGAATTGGAAAACGGAGATGTGAAAACTGAGCGTGAACACGTTGCCTGCCGTTTCAATCATCAGAAAACGTTTCTTCACGTGACCTGAACTTTGCTGAGTCAGCAACTCGACCGAAAATGAAAGTGAAATACTAGTTCCAGATTCATGTTCACGGCCTCCCCACAATAGCGACATATTCTTATCTTCGTTGTCGTTCCAAGGGGGCGGTTTCTTGTCCTCAGAGCGACCAGTTTTGGACCCTTTTGAGCGGATAAGGAAGATTTATAGGCAAAACATCTCCTATTGGCGCGGCTGTCCTGCGCACTGCGACTGGCGGAGAAACATGTTCTAGGTAGGAGTTGATAGAGTAACTCGGGTAAAGATGCGCACTGCGCTACCGTTCAATGACGGAAAGTTGGGTTTAAAACTTCAAGGTATAAGTAGGTACCTAGGTAACTTAACCACCACCGAGTATTGTCATTCGTGGCAACCAAAACTTCTATGTAAACAACAGTCAACCCACCCTCACCATGTATCTCCCCCGGCTCCTCCTCCTAACCCCCTTCCTCACCCCCTTCTCCTCCGCCCAAAGCCAAACCCTGACCAACCCCATAATCTGGCAAGACCACCCAGACCTAGACGTCTTCCGCATCGGCTCCGTCTTCTACTACTCCTCATCAACATTCGCCTACTCACCCGGCGCACCCGTCCTGCGCTCCTACAACCTCGCAGACTGGGAGCCCGTCTCGCACAGCGTGCCCACTCTCAACTTCGGCCCCGAATACAACCTCCCTGCTAGTGCCTCCGGCAGCAACCCCTCACGTGCCTACGTCAAAGGCATCTGGGCGAGCACCCTCCGCTACCGCGCCTCAACCGACACCTTTTACTGGCTGGGCTGCATCAACTCGGGGAAGACCTACGTGTGGACAGCGTCCGGTACCCAAGCGGGTCGTAATGATGGAGAGGTGCCGGAGGGGAAATGGAACTGGACCGCCCGCACACCGATTAACACCTGTTACTACGACGTGGGCATGCTAATCGACAACGACCCGGCCGAAACGGTCTACGTGGCCTACGGCAACCGCCAGATCCGCGTTGCGCGGCTGAATGTCCTGTCCAACGGCGACCTGTCCGAGGCCACGTCGCAAGTTGTATACAACTACACCGGCAGCGGAACCGTCGAGGGTGCGCGCATGTACAAGGTCGGCGGGCGGTACTACATCTTTGTGACGCGGCCCGCGGATGCTGAGCTGGTGCTGCGGTCGGACAGTGGTCCGTTTGGGCCGTATACCATGCGCACGCTCGTGGATCGCCCGTCGGGACCGGTGGCGAACGCCGGGTTTGCGCATCAGGGCGGAATTGTGGATACGCAGGACGGCAGGTGGTACTATGTCGCGTTTTTGGATGCGTATCCGGGAGGGAGGATTCCAGTGGCGGCGCCCCTGATCTGGGGTGCGGACGGCTGGCCGAGGGTTGAGATGGATGCTAGGGGCGCGTGGGGGAGGGAGTATCCCGTGCCGGTGAATACTAGTAAGACGGTTAAGAGTAGGATTGGGGAGGTGAGGGATGAGTTCAAGGGGGAGAGGTTGGGACATGGGTGGGAGTGGAATCATAACCCTGACAATGGCGCCTGGGCGATGGCTCCTGGTGGTGGGCTGACGCTGAGGACGGCGACGGTTACGGGGGATTTGTTTGCTGCGAGGAATACCTTGACGCACCGCATCCAGGGGCCCAAGTCGAGGGGGACTTTCCGGGTGGATATTAGCAAGATGAGAGATGGCGATAGGGCTGGGGCGGTTTTGTTCAGGGATCGCGCGGCGTATATCGGGATTCACAAGACGGGAAGCTCGGCTGTCATTGTTATGGTCAACAACTTGAACCTCACCGTGAGCACATGGCAGACGTCATCCATGGGGAGTGTGGCTGCGACTGGGCCTACAGTCTCCGGAAGGGAAGTCTGGCTGCGGATTCAAGCCGACATAACTCCTGCGTTTGGGACCACCCAGGAGAGAAGGACGACGTTCTCCTATAGTCTGGATGGAACGACCTTCACTACGCTGGGGCCGGCTTTTGCGATGACCAACGACTGGAGGTACTTCACGGGGTACCGTTATGGCGTCTTCAACTTTGCTACAAAGGCACTTGGAGGGGAGGTTTTGGTGAAGAGTTTTGAGATGGAGCTTGTGAAGTAGTGAGGCGCATTGCTACTAGT